ATAGGATTAATGTTATGACGCTGATTACTTTTAAAGTTCAATGACTGTTTGAGACTGAGAGATATGTAACTAAGCTGGAAAGCCACACTTTTCTCATATCATACTCTTGTCATTGACTGAACTATTCATCCACGTTTTTCACTGTTAGGCAAATGCTTGCATCTGATCTTCAGTCTTTCTAGCTCAATACTTACGGTAGCACTGACTGCCAACTTAGCAAGAAGGATTCAAGCAGAAATCTTTTCCAGCCCTATTTGAGGATGCTGAGGATAGATCCTGGTGCTTTGGCATGCAAAACCAAACACATGCTCTGCCACTGAATGAGTGGAAAGAACAGCCCTTTTAATTTTGGGGGAGGGTGGTGGTGGTGGGGAATAAGGACATTAAAGATAAAACTGTAGTTCAGCATTATCACTTCCCAGGCAGGTATTCTTGCTCTGAAATATTTTACACTTGTTGTTTTTTCCTGGCCTTCTTTTAATTTGAGAACTGCACTTCTACTGGTCAGTTGCTTGATTACCTTTTACTAGAGAAGGTTTTGAACATCGCACATCCAACTTTCAATGCTATTTTATACACTTATTGAACTAGGGAGAAAGTCTTAATGGACACAATAAAATAAGAATAATGATTACAGTATATTCTTCAAATCTATGTTGTAGTGGTTCAGAGTGCAAGCAGATTACATAATGCTAACTATGTGCTAATTCCAACATCAGTCTAAGCACAGGACAATGCATTTATGAATATTATAGATGACTTTAACATAATAAGAGAGTTGGAAAGGACTTTGGAGATCTTCTAGTCCAGCCCCCTGCTCAGGTAGGAAAACCTATACCATTTCAGACAAATGGTTGTCCAGTCTCTTCTTAAAAACATCCAGTGTGGGGGCATTCACAACTTCTGGAGGCAAGCTGTTCCACTGATTAATTGTTTTAACTCTCAGGAAATTTCTCCTTAGTTCTAAGTTGCTTCTCTCTTTGATTTGTTTCCATCCATTGTTTCTTGTCCTGCCTTCAGGTACTTTGGAGAAGAGGTTGACCCCCTCTTCTTTGTGGCAATTCCTAGTTTAACAGAAAATTCAATAGACACTATCTCAAGAATGACCTGTTAGGGATATGCAGATGTTAGAAACAGGAAAAGTACTCAGGGTAGATAAGTTTTTCTTCTGATCACATGGTAAGAGGTAGCGATCCTCACTGAGCTGAAAATGAAGCTCAGGTCCAGGCAATCCAATGTAAAATCTTTCTAAAAGAACAATATTGCTACTGCATGGCATTGTTTTTACACTTTAATGTCCCTTTTAAGAGTCTTCTAGATTAGAAGATTAGGTGAAACAAAAAGGTCTGGTTCCAATCTGCTTCATTACACTTGTAGATTTAATCTATCTGAAGTGAGCAGATTTATCCTTGTTATTTTATGGAAGAAATGGTAAAAATTAGATTTTCAAAAGGATTACTATACTGTTACTTAGGTAGATTTCTATGTTGTTTTTTAGCTGCTGCTTTCAAATGAGTTCATAATTTATATTTTCATGAAGTAGAAATATAGGATTCATGCAGGATTCACTCTCAGTTCATTTTTTTTAATCTAGGAAAATGCTAGAAATCCCACTAGTAGCTTTGAACCCCAAGCGGGAGAGAACTAACCTGGATTCCTGTGTCAAGTACTTCTGGAAATTTTCCAGAGACTGACTAGCTCAAGGTTATCTGAAATACTTTTTGTAGTAGAGTGAGAAATTGAACCTGGATCTTCTGACACTCAATCCAACATCGCTGGTATTAATGATTTCATTTTTTTCGATATATAAGAAAGATTGCCTTGAAGATTGAGGTGAAAATGTCTAGCCTGAGAAACAGTCGGGGGTCCCTATTAACTTTGCATATAATGGGAGATGCTGTCCTACTGATATGTGAGGATTTACATTTCTGTGCTATTAATATAAATAAGAGATACTGTTTGTGCATAAATGCTCTGATATTAAAGAGGAAATGTAGTCCAGAGCCTAGCTTTGAGAAGATGCATTTTTAAAAGTTGAGGAAAGAAAACTGGCTGCTTTACATCTCATTTAATAGGTTTTCAGCACATTCTCGGCCAATATGCTGCTAAAAAATACTTTAACTTTTAAGTAATGAGAAATGATAATATCAGGAATAAATGAACACACTAACATGTCCAGAATGTTGACATTACATGATCATGTCATGGGATTTACCACTGATTACACTCTATAGTATTCTTTTCAAATGAAACACTGAATCAACTTCTCCTTTTAATATTTTGGTATCTATCCAGGGTGCTATTAAGTGTTCTTACGGCAGCTTCTTTTAATCTTAGCCAACTTTCTCATTACATGATTTCATTTTCTAGCATTTAAATGGTTTTTGTGAGTCACTACTAAGTGGATTTTTCTATTTTTTATTTATTTATAGAATTGCTGCATTACAGCAAGACAGTGTTCCTAAACAGGACAATTCCTAGCATTGTCATATGTATTGAAAAGGTGTAGCCCGAAGTCCCCTTGATACTTTTCCAAGGAACTTGAGGATGGTCACCTTATGATGGTCATCCTTATGTTATGACAATTTAAAAACCCACTTTTTAATGGTATCACTTGACAATGTATTTTAGGGGTTTTTCCCCCCACATGAAATAAAATAGATATGATGATGCCTTTTGGAAAGCATAATTTTTAAATTATCCCTTCAAGAAAGATTGGTTACAATATAAAGAATGCAATTTTAAGTAGCCATCTCAGGAGTCTCTGCTTGAAGCAGAATTAGATATTCAAGCTCTTTTTTTTTTTTTTTTGAGCCTCATTAGTTGAACTCATAAAACCACATGGAATGATAATCTCATTTATTCTTAGCTTTCCAAAACTAATAAGACAATTACATTTGCTTTCCCAGAAAGGAAGGAAATGCAGAATTTTAACTTATCTGGAAAAATATGGTCTTTTCTGCTTGCTAAAAACTTGGTCTCTAGAGTCAGGCTGGCCTTTTTTTTAAGGCTGTGTCATTTTTCATCATCTCTTCAGTTAAAATCTACATGAAAGGATGAGGTAGGTGATTTACCTGTTACTTCAGTTGATTTAAGGCTAAAATACAGACTATGTTATACATGTTCAACATACAAAAGCTGAGTCAAACATTCCAGCCAAAATAAACTACATATGATCTACTCATAACTCCTGTTCTTATGTCCAGTGTTATATCTTTATGGGACTTGTGGTGCAAGAATCCCTGAGTCTAATTCTCTTTGCCTTCTACTCTCAATTTTGAAGTTAGCTGGGTATGTAAAAGTAATCACTAGTCACTGAGTTTATTAACTGACTTCCCTAACATTTCCCTTTCTAATCTCTCCCCTTCACCCTGTTTTTTTAGATGGGTTTAAATAGGAGAAAGAAAAATTCATGTCCTGTTCAGCTACATTTATTTATCACTGAGGCACTTGAGAGTAATATCTTAAGTTGTATTATTTTTCTCAAAGCCAGAAATACAGATGTTGATAAATTGTTTTCAAGCATTTTCTCAAGCTTGATGGTGAGAATTTAATCCAGAAAATACCATTACATGTGTGGAATGATTATGAGTGCCAACATACTGAAAAAGAATATCTTCACGAAAACATTTTCAACAACTGCATAAACATTGTGACAAGCACCCATCTGTTCACTTGGTCTTATCCTAACTGTTATGGAATTAAAAGGAATCCAATGCCTTTGTTTCATTATATAAGCTTAAATAACGCCACTTCCAAATATACTCACCGCTATGAGAAAAATCTTGATATAACTATTGTTTTGAAGGAGATCTCTTCTTTACATGTAGGTCACAACAGGAGGACTAAAGATTTTATCTTTTGCAATTAATGAATGGTACTACTAAGTGCTTTTTTTCTAAAAAAAAAAAAAAGGTGCCGGAACTCACACACGTCATACAACCTGCCTTGCCTACCCTACAAGGTTCCATCCAAAAAAGGTGCCGGAACTCCGTTCTGCGCATTCTATGAGAAAAAAAAAGCCCTGGTACTACTAAGTGGCTGGATATATAAACAAGTATACTTTCTACCATTTAAGAAAAATGCTAAACTAATCCCATGTAATTACTGTCTAACATTTTTAATAGTCCTTTTCTCTATCCTGATCCTTCCAAGATTCAATGTCACTGGATGATCTCTGGTGATAATGTTTTGGGGAAGGGAAAATAAATTCTTATCCAGTTTATCCACAATATACATAATTTTGTACACCTAAAGCATGTTCCTTCTTATCTGCCTCCTTTCTTCTTAGAGAAATTGCTCCAGACTCTGGATCATCTTATTGTCCTCCTCTGAACCATCTCTAGTTCTACTTCACATGACTATTGCAAGAGCTGTTTGACGTTAAATGTCTTATGGGGCAGTTTTGTGAATTAGATTACTTCTGTCTGTAAACTGGAAGCAGATGTGTCTTTAGAAAGTAATGATTTATCAGTTTAAACAATCAATGCAAAAATCAGAAAAGCATAATAAAAGAGTCTTTCACATAGCTGAAGTAATCTCCATGTCGTCTTATCACTTATTTATCATGTTTCCTAAGTTTAGCACTATTAAGTATTAACAAATCTGGATGTATAGTTCAGACTCTAAACAGACTGTAATATATAATGCAGACTTGTTCAGCTTTGGGAATCAATAAATTACACCTGGCTGCAGTTTGGGAAAGAGGAATGATAGGAAATTTTCAGGATGAAATAATATGATGGGTGGAGAAATCCCCCCCCCCCAATATCTTTTCAAAGATAAACATACATTAGTTCTTAATAAACTATTTCAAATGAAATTGTTGAGAGTTTGTTTACTTACTATTCATGTACTTGTTCCCCCTTTTAAAAAAAATTATCTGGAAAAAGAGCACGTATTTGTACACATTTTAAATAATGAAAAAAAAAGAAAGCTGTATAAATTAATCGTACGTACTTAGGGGATTGTATTAAATATATTTTATACCTTTTATTTAGGGATACAGAATACAAAGGACTTCAGCTCTCCCTCGATCAGGTTTCGGCTACAAAACCGGCCTTCCCATATGCAAACTCAATTCCAACTATAACTGACAATAGAAAAGGAAGCAAATCACGTCTCCCTGCCGCAAAGTCCAAATCTAGGACATCACCTTATCCACAAGTAAGAGCGACTTGATTTCATATGCTTAGAAAAGATTCTTGAGTTTCCTTCTGAAATGTTTTGCAATGAAGCATAACTGTATAATTGCTGGTAGAAGTTTAGTCTGTATTATCACTGGGCAACATATCTGCGCTGAGGGAATATCAGAGGAAATGTAAACAGCATCAGGATTTTAATTACTAGAGATCTAAGGCCAGAAGCTATTTCATATTACTTTGAAGACATACCACAAATCTTGTAACAAGCAAAATTGCAAATGCTCATCCATAACACATAGAGAGACTATAGTTAAAGGAAAAATACAAAGTTAAATTCGATCTCTATAGGAAATTCTAGGCTTTTGTACATTGACATATGCAATTCACAAGATTCCATTCAATAAATTGGCATTCTGTGACTTCAGTCATATTGTTGTCAATCCTGAATGATTATGTTGATTTTCCCCAATTTAATACCTCTGGATATATTGCTCAATTTCACTATTCCCAGCAGGAATAAATAGAAAACATGCTGCTTGGACACAATGGGAATTGTAGTCCAACTTATATGGAGGGATACGAGCTTAGCAAAAAGGTGAGGGATACCTGGGATGATAATGGAAAGGACAAAGGAAAAAAGTCAACTAAAATATAAACAAAAAGTTTAGTAATTCGTGAGTTTGCTTTTCAAGTTTTAATGCAGGCTTAATTTGGGTATGTTATAGAATTATATAACTTTGACACTAGAGGTAATGCTATATATATCAGGCCATCCTTACTTTCATAAATATGTGCCTACATAATTTTGATTATCTGCTTTGAATGAGATCCTTGGACTGATTTTTTTCTATGATCCAGTTTTTGTTTTCTTGGTTATCCAGTGCCTTAAGAGACTTCTCCAATGCTAAGTTTAAAAGTGTCAATATTCTTTCCAAACTCCTTCAAAGTCCAACTTTCACTTCCTTAGAATGTCACAGAGAAAGACATCAGCTGTAGGTATAGAGATGTCATGGCATCTTATCCATATTTTTCTGCCAAGTGCTAATTTGTGGCATATTTCTTGACTGCTAGTTCTTTTACTGTTCACTGATTCTAAAAGGCAGGAACTATTCACTCCAAATTGTCAGCTCTAAATCTCTGCTTGCATTTTTTGATCTTCATGTGTAATTTTAGTCCCATTTTCCCTATTTTTGCTCAATGACCTTTCCTCACTAGAGCCTGCAGTTTATTTGCTTTTCATCTATCAGTATGCATTAGTATGGTGCAAGTTATTGGTATTTCTTCCTGAAATTTTAAAACTGCATTTTTCTTCTAAAGCAGCCTCTCTTGATATTGTCAAATTGGAACCAGTCTGTTTTGTCAGGCTTAAACTGGATTGTGGCTTCCTGTCCTGTGTTATTTATTTATTTATTTATTTATTTATTTATTTATTTATTTATTTATTTATTTATTTATGAGACTTATATACCGCTTTTAAGTGCAAGCACTCTCTAAGCGGTGTACACCAGTAAGCAATGTATGTATATATTTACATTGCCCCCAACAATCTGGGTTCTCATTTTACCTACCCCGGAAGGATGGAAGGCTGAGTCAACCTTGAGCCGGTGAGATTTGAACCGCTGACCTGCTGAACACAGTCGGCTAAAGTGGCCTGCAGTACTGTTAGATTTTGTAAGAGTCCAATAAATTGTTGTGAGTTCCTATTTTCTTAAGAGCGTTCCATAGCTTGCCATGGTTGGCATAATCAAATAATTTTCTATAATCAATGAAGTACATACTGACCTAATTTTTGTATTGTTTGGCTTTCTCACGTATCCAATAAATCAGCAATATCTTGTTTCTCAGCTTTTTCTAAGCATCTTGAGCATCTGGCATCCCCTTTCCATGTAGAGTGTTGGATGATCCAATCAATCTTTTTCTAGCCTGTAAGCCTACATAATTATTAATATTCATTGCAGCATTTTGTTACAATGATAGTGTTAATGTTTCTTTTTAACTTGAATGCATACAAGGCACTCAGCTGAAACTACATTATAGCATTTTTCTAAATCCCATGTGCTAAATATTACCATCACTGTCATCAAATCAAACTTCTACTTTTCTAAGGATAATTTTGGTTAAAAAAAATGTAGTGCAACACACCTAATCTACTGTAAATCTATCATTTTGTTGTTTAGATGGATAGTCATTTTTTGCAAGGGCCCTTTAAAAAGACCTCAAGTACATATATTAATGAATACATTCTGAAGTAAGCAAACACTGATAGCACACTTGGGGAACTATGATAGTACACTTGGGGTGGGGACCTATGGCTCTATTATGACTTGGAGACTCCACCTCCATGCTGGCTTGGGAATTCTGGGAGTTGAAGTCCACAAGCCATAAAGGAGCCATAGTTCCCCACCCCTGCTGTAAGCAAATGTGCTAGCAGAGTTTGAGAATATGGATCAACTTCCCTTTCTTACTTCAGAATGTATTCATTAATGTATGTACTGAGGTCCTTTTTAAGAGCCCTTACAAAGAATGTCAATTCTTTTGAGCAACATCTATAATTCAAGTCTATCACTTTTATTAAACTTGGTTTAGTGACAGTTTGAATGTTGCTTGCATAAATAAATCTCCATGTTTATCAAGGACAATTGCTGCACTGCTTATTACCAACTCTAAAAGAATGTAGTTGCTTTTTAATAGCTGTTGATATTTATTTAATACTGAAAGCTTGTTTTTATTTCAGTTATTTTTGTTAGTATCAAAGAGAATAGAAATATTTTAAATAAAAGCAAATCATACTGAGTCATATTTCCTTAATGATGCATTGTCTCATTAATTAAACATTGAATAAAAATATTTAATATATTAGTTAGAATATTATACCTCAAACTTTGCAAATTTGAAAGTGAAAGGAAGACTTTAAAGCTACAGTCACCATTAGTAGAGGTTATTTTAATGGTTATGCTGCATTACTTTAATCGAAGCCTTCCACCATCTGTTCTGCCTGTAACAGAACGATCATACTTTATATTTCAGGGTTAGATTAGTTAAAAAGGCAAGATAAAAGTGATTTAAAAGCACACATATGTTCTGTGTGTAAAGTAGATTGCAATCTGTGATCCCCTACTTGTTTAATCAAGAAGGAAGTTGCAGATGCTCAGTGCAGCAGACATTTTTGATGGACGGTTTTGGTATAAAAGGATTCTCTTTGCATACTCATACATGTTTTGGGAGCTGAGATAAGGACTGCTAACTGTTTATCTATCAAGATCTGGAGGAGTAGCAATAGGCAGTACAAATTTCACAGTCAGTGAACACCAATATCTGAAATAGGCTGGTGCTTGGTAGCTTAATAAATTCTGACATAGTTGATAGTTAACTACCTAAGCTAAAATCCCCTGCATGCCATCTATTTTTTCTTCATTAACCTACATATATTTCCCTAATTATCAATTTATATAGTCACCCATCTCACTAATATGATGCTGGGCAATGTACAACAAAACAAACAATTAAAACAAATCTTAAATAACCATTAAAACAATTACTGTAAGCTATAAACAAAACCTCAGGAGAATGCACCAAAATCTCACATATAATACAATAATCACGTAGGCTCCCTATCGCTATGAGGTCCCCAAGCCTGCTAAAAAGAACACATTTTAACAGATTTCTGGAAGAACAGTAGAATCAGGGCTAAATTTCACTTCAGGAGAAAGATGTTCCAAAGGGCAGGTACTACAGAGAAAAGATCTGTTTCTGACATTCCATCAGATAGAATCTTTTAGCACACAGAACCCATGATATATTCTCTCCTGCTGGACTTGATAAGACAGGTACAGATAGATGTAACTGGGAGAGATAGCCCTTCAAATAACCTTGCTCCATATAATTTAGGGCTTTAAAGGTTAGAACCAGCACCTGGGAATCTGGGAACAAACTAGTACAATTCACCGAGCAGAAGTTTAACATTGGCCATTCTAGGGGCACACATACCACTATTATAACTGCTTACGTCACTATCCCACTCTGAAGTCTCCAGGTCTGGCAAAACCAAGCCTTATAGTCCTTGTAAAACAGTGTAGGAGCCAATCTTATCTCCATGCGGATGATGTTCCACAGGGAGGGAACCACCACAGAGAAGGCCTTTCTTCTTAGTCCTGCTAGATCAGTGGTTCCAACCTTTTTAATGCCGCAACCCCCAACTGGTTGTAAGTCAAGGACTAAACCAGTCGTAAGTCGAGGACTTAAACCAGTCGTAAGTCAAGGACTACCCAACCAGTCGTAAGTTGAGGACTTTCCCTGCCTGGGAGCGCCATGCATGCATGGTGCCGCCCCCTGCGCTGGCCGAGGCGTAGTTGGCAAGCGGCAGAGACAGAGCAGGCCGACCCCCGGCTTGGCCACCAGCTGGCCCAGCCCAAGGGAGGTAAGGCACCCGCTGGAAAAGGGGAAAAAAATGGCTGACAGCCTTGCTTGGCGACCCCCCGTGAGATGGTTGATCGACCCCAAATAGGGTCGCGACCCATAGGTTGAGAACCGCTGTACTAGATGGACCTCCTTAGGAGAGAAGACCCTTCACATTTCTTGCCTCTCCACTCTGGTGCGTCAGTTAGATGTGACCGGGAAAAGACTGTCCTTCAAATAACCTGGTCCCAAGCCATGTACATTTTTGAATTGACAAGTATCATCTTGAATTCGACCTGGAAGTAAATTGACAGCTAAAGCAACTCCTGCAGGACAGGTGACACATGTGTACAAAGCCATGCAGGCTGTAGCATTTTGAACCAATTGAAGTTTCAGGATACTTTTCAAGGACAGCCCCATGTAGGGTGTTTTACAATAGTCAAGACGAGAGGTGATTAGGTCATTGGTGACTGTGAGCAGAGATTGTTGGTCCAGTAAAGGGCATAACTGGCACACAACCCACAGTTGTGCAAAGGGTCTCCTGGCCATGACTACAACCTACAAGAGTCATGAGTCCAGGCAGTGCCACCCCATCCAAGACCAAAGGTGGCAATTCTCCATGGACCA